ACGGATCCGGATCCAAGCTTGGATCCGATTCGGTTTTTCGGATCGAATCCGAATCCTTAGAAATATCCGTCCGATCCGGTCCGTGCGGAACATTAGCAATGACAATGACCATCATCTATACAAACTGATCTGTCATACCATATAATCCTTGATCTTGGATCAATTACATCTGACGATTCAGTACCATCTTCAAAACCATGAATAAAATGTCTAAATCTCGCTTACATTCAATGATAAAGGTTTATTCATGCGGCTTATTTTCTCAATTTCACGCATCCCGACGTATCTTTACAAGGGTAATTTTTAATGAATTAACTAGATTATCAATATTATTTAAACTTACAGAAATTAATTATCTTAGACTATGGCATCTGCAACTGGAGGACAAGTCACTAACAAAGATCCTTTGATCAAGACCTTTAATATTTATCGCTGGGTAAAAACAATATATATATATATTAACATGATTATTTGGACTTTCTGAATAAATCACATTTTACGTAAATATATTAAAACCTTTAGTTTATATATTTTATATCAATATAGAATCCCGATAAACCCGCAGAAAAACCTCATTTACAACAATATCAAGTAGATCTCAATGCGTGTGGTCCTATGGTACTAGATGCTTTAATAAAGATCAAAAATGAACAAGATTCCACACTGACTTTTCGTCGTTCGTGCCGTGAAGGCATTTGTGGTTCATGTGCAATGAATATCAACGGTACAAATACTTTAGCATGTCTTTCTAAAATCGACCGCAATGCAAGTAATACGAAAATCTATCCATTGCCTCACAGTAAGTCTTTGTCTATGAAAAATAAATATTAGTTAAATTACATAATCTGATGAGTAACGTATTTTGTAGTGTACGTTGTCAAGGATCTTGTTCCAGATCTTACACATTTTTACAAGCAGTATAAATCTATTGAGCCATTTCTAAAAAAAAAGACTACACCGAAAGACGGAGAACGGGAACATTATCAATCGATTGCTGATCGCAAGAAACTTGATGGTCTTTATGAATGTATTTTGTGTGCTTGCTGCTCCACTTCGTGCCCCAGTTATTGGTGGAATTCAGATGAATATCTTGGACCAGCAGTTTTGTTGCAAGCATATAGATGGATGATTGATTCGAGAGACGATTACGCCCAAGAACGTCGGGAAGCACTTCAAAATCCATTCTCAGTCTATCGTTGTCACACCATTATGAATTGTACGAGGACATGCCCGAAAGGGCTAAATCCTGGCCGAGCAATTGCTATGATCAAAAGGGAAATGGCATTAGAGTGAATGATGATTTTTAATTGACGTAATTGACGTGGAAAATGTTGTTTCAATACTAGAATATATTCGTTTATGCAATAACGAACTTAACGATAACAAAATTGTAATATTAAAATTGTATCACAAATTGACTATACAATATATTAATGCGTATCAAAAGACTATATATCGATATATTAATTTTTTTATATATATTTTAAGTTTAAATTACGTATATTTAACATGTTATGTATATTTGACTAATATATATATACATATATATATATATATATATGTGATAACGACTAGTGTTTTGACCCGAGTGGGTATCACCCGGGCCACTCGCGGGTGAGTGGGTTAACCCGCGGGTGGCCCGTTGGTTGACCAACATAATAAACAATCACTAAATACACACACCATCTGACTTCAAATTTAAATATCCATGTCTTTGAATGTGTTTAAGAACTCATATATAGAAGATATGCAATTTTTCGAACTAATAAGCTTTAAAAATTTTTTTTAAAAGGGGCGTTAGTTTATGGCCATGGCGACCCTATATGAATAGCCAATCAAGATTGAGCATGTGATTATATAATATATTGCTTATTATGGCCCAATAAAATTTTTATACACAAATTTTAAAAAATCTAGTTGTGACTAGAGATGAAAGCCCCTAGCTGACCCACAAAATTTTTTCCACCCCTTGTAATAACGACCAATCGAATTTCAGGATCAGGTGTAAC